TAATGATTTCTAACTCTTTTTGCTTGCAGGTGCTATTAGCTCCTCCACTTTTAAAACATGACTTATGATACGTCATTTGCATGTGAGTTTTCCCGTTAACACTAGTTTTCATGCAGAATTGAGTCTTTTTTTCCTATGCACTTTTTAGACTCTAGGAGAGACTTGAGCAGAAATAAGATATGATACGGGTTCTGATGCATTTGACGCGGGAACCACATGGAGGGGATCAGGAGCAGATGCTCGTGCCCCTTATCTTAATTCTGCATTTTATATTGATGTATGGAATTGGGACTGGACATGTATATGCGGAGTCCGACCTCCTTTTTCTTTTTTGGGATATGTTGCTGACCCAGCGACACCGGTCTGTTTATTATCTTGATTTGACTTACTTTATTTTTTGCATCATATTGTATGTCCGCACTTGTATGTGTTTTCCTTATTTTTTTCTGTGATATGAGTTTTTACGATATAATTTAGGCTCATTGATACGCCTAAAAATGTATTATTTTTCATACTTTATTTTATAAATGATATTACACTTTAAAAGTATGTTTTTCTGTGTTTTTGGTTGTAGGTACATCAAATTGAAGAATTTGAAGTGATTGGAGCAAGAGGAACAAAAATGGATCAAAATGGAGCAAATCAGAGCAAATCGACTCAAATCGGGGCACACCGGAGCCATGGGGACCGAAACCAGGCACTTAGGTGCCTGTGCCCGGTGCTTAAGCACCCAAATATGGCGCTTAGGCGCCACCAGAGAGAGAGGGGGGCGCTTAAGCACCCAAAAAACGGTGCTTAGGTGCAGGTGACAATTTTCTAGAATAATTTGGGGTGGTTATAAGTAGTTTTGAAGAGGTACTTCAGACACCATTTAGAAGATTCAATGAATATGAACACTTTTGAAGAAACACTTATGCATCTCTTGGAAAATTATTAAAAAGCTTTGGAAATGTTTTTAAAGTAAATCTTGGACTTTGGAATCAATTAGAAGAGGAGAAGAAGGCTTAGGTGTGAGCCCCAAGTGGGGCGATAAGGTGAGAGAGAAAGAGAGAGAGAGATTTCTTCTTTTCTTTTTACTTTGTCTTTTTACTTTGTTCTTCTTTTTACTTTGTTCTTAGAGAGGATTGTAAGGAGATTACTTTTGCTATACAATGAGAGTTTGATTTCGATCTAAGATAAATATTTTTATTGTATTTTGATTTGAATCTAGTACTTTGTTTGTATGATTTCAAAGTCTTGTTCAATAAAAAGTTCTTGTTGTTTCTCCATATGTAGTGAGTAGTTTTCTTTACTCTTCCCTCTTGTAATGAATTAATATGCATGTGTAGGATATAAAATTGTGTAGAGTGAGAATATATTGTGATGATTTTACTTTTTTCTTCATTTACATGTAAACTTGATCAACTTGCATGTTAAAATCTGTTGTGAGAACATTCTGGGATGGTGTTGTCTTAATTAACTGTGGTAGAGTCACATGATATTGTATGGATAAAAATGTGTCCATATGGTTGAGTGAAAATAAATAGGGAAATAATCTTTAATGGGTGTAGAATTAGAGAAATTTAGAGTTACAGACTAAAGCCCCCTAATTTGGTCTATTATTTTAGGTTTTGATGCGAGATGTTAGCCTCCAGGTGGAGGGATAAGAGAGAACTCTAGAGTGAGAGCTAATATCTTCTTTGCCTAGCCCGTCTTCATAACTATTCAAACTTTAGATTAACCAATGTTCTTTATAACATCTCTATTAAGGGTAAAAAATATAATTGCTCCTATTTGTCACAATATCTCTCACTACTTGTTTTACTTTTACACGTCACTAATTTCATTGCATGAGGAAGAGTAATTTTAATATATTAAACCTCATTTTCTGATTTTCACTAAGTATTTTAGTTTATGATCAGAAGTAGTATTGTAGTGATAATTGTAGGATATAATCAAAACCAAACATTTATCGACCTTCCAAGCTAGGGCATATTATTCTAGATTAGAATTTCTTTTGAAAGTCGACGTGATTAACCTCGATCTCCATGGGATCGATATTCGAGGCTTAATCATAAAGCTCTATATTACTTGATAACGATATGTATACTTGCGTAGAATCCCTATAAATATAATTGAAATCTTACTTTGCTTGAGATCAAATTTTTTGTGCTATTACTGGGGATTAAAATCTTCAAGTAGTTGTGTCAACTTAATAAATCCTTATGTATAAAAAATATCGGGATCACTCATTAAGGACCTTAAAATTTTATTTCTTTCTATCATAAAAAGCCTAAATAAAATATTCAAGATAATTAAAATTTATGATTAAAATATTTAGGATTTAAAAATTTCAACATTTACTTTCCTGCATAAATTAATAGGGCAATTAATAGGGCCTAGGACCGCTCTAGATAACTGCTCTAGATAACGGCATTCATATTTGAATGTCTCAAGGAGGAGGCCCCGTGCTTCTTCAACCTGACTGGCCTAACATACCTTTTATAGGTGGTTGTCTAGTGCGCCTAGGGAGAAGGCTCCCCGACCTAGACGGGGTGTAAGTCCTTTTGTTTGGAGCATTTCCAATTTCGTAGCTGAACCTCAACTTTCTTGTCCTTCCCGAGGCATCATTGTCACTTCGACAGGTATAAGTCCTACCTCTTGGAGCTTCAGCTTATAGTCATAGGATAGAATTTATTTTTTTCCTTTGACCTTA